ATTGGATATAACAACTTTCTGTAAAGTATTTTATGATGTTTGTTCTTGCAATTTTAGCTTTAATGGAAAGGAGAATAGTTTATAATTATGGGCAATTTTTAGTTTTTTCTTTTAATGGTAAATTATTTCACTCATTTGAAATATAGAATAAAAGGTGATTCTTGAAACTTGCTATGAAACAAAGTACTTTTTGAGAGTGTTGCAGTGAAGTGGCTCAATTGTGTTATGAGTTTTGTGTGCTGGTGTTCTTGTATCTTTATGAAACACTTTGTACTTTAAGGGTAATATTGTTGCCTATAATTATTATCTTAGATTCAAAAGTCTTTTTTTCCCTGCTATCTTAAGTAATATTGACCCCACACAGAAACTTTCACTTTGAAGTTTAGTTCTTTTTTTTCTTTCCTGCTGTAGCCACATGGTTTTGCAATTTGGGCCAAATGGTCCCTAGAACTATTTTATTCAAAAAACGTTAATTAAAAAGTTCCTATTCTTTGGCTGTATTTTCACCTTTTTATCAAATTTAAGTATGTTGGGCCATAATGAATGCTTTACAACTGGGTTGCCCAACATGATAGCCACTAGCCACATTGGCTATTTCTATTCTAATTTTAATTAATGAAGATTAAATAAAATTAAATATTTAGTTCCTCATTCACACTAGCCACATTTCAAGTGCTCAATGGCCACATGTGTCTAGTAGCTACCGTGTAAGACAGTGCAGATATAGAACATTTCCACCATCCCAGACAGTTGTATTGGATACACTGCTCTAGAATGGGGGTTGGCAAACTACGACCTGGGCACCCAGTCTGCTCTACCACTTGTTTTGTAAATAAAGTTTTATTGAAATACAGCCATGACCACTTGTTTACATATTGTCTGTGGCTGCTTTTAGGCCGTAACAGCAGAAATGAGTAGTTGAAACAGACCATGTGGCTCACAGAGCAAAAAATATTTTCTTTGTATCCCTTTATAGAAAAAGGTGGTGACCCTGCTTTAGAGTATACATATTCATAAAGTTGATTGTTTGCATAGAAGATAAGTCTTTCTCTGGTAGATCAGATTCTTTCCAAAATGAAGAGAAAGAAGAATACCAGGCAAGACAACACGCAGGGTGTCAATCTGCATAAGGTGGGCTGCACAACTGACAGAGTTAGTAAACTATTGCCATGAGGCCCTTCTGTGCTGCTGGCCCATTGTCACACTTGGGCCCAGAGTCTGGTTGGGAGTCAGGAATGGAATCTGCAGAGGACACAAGGACAGTTAGAAGATGAATAAGGTGGAGTGAAATCTATCTAATATGTTAGACCTAAAAATCTTTCAATTAAAATCTTTCAATTTAGGGGCTGGCCCCGGGGCCGAGTAGTTAAGTTCACGCACTCCGCTGGTTCGGATCCTGGGCGTGGACATGGCACCACTCGTCAGGTCATGCTGAGGGGGCGTCCCACATGCCACAACTAGAAGGACCCACAACTAAAATGTACAACTATGTACTGAGGGGATTTGGGGAGAAAAAGCAGGAAAAAAAAAGAAAATTGGCAACAGTTGTTAGCTCAGGTGCCAATCTTTTAAAAAAAAAAAACTTTCAATTTAGTCTTAAATAGGAATTTATTCAAAAAATTCACTAATACAGTACCTGGTTTCTAATTTTTGATTGATTGGATCATTTTAGTATTTTTATAATCTTCTTTTATCTTGTGGAATGTCCAAGAAATTTAATCTCTTAGATGACGGGAAATATTTAAATCCGTTTTGTTTTACCATTTTACATACAATTTTTTAAAATACTGTTTTAAGCCATGGAACTTTTCCATTTTGGTGGGACATGAGCTTATTTTGTACGCGTTGACAAAATACTGTGGCATATAGTGTTTTGAATGGATGCCAAGTCATCCTGATGTGTAAGTTGTACCCCAGACGAATTTGTCTTTGAGGATTTTGTTAAACTCTGATTTTTAAAAAAAATTTATGTATTTTTAGTTAGTTAATTTCAAGTTGTAAATTGCAATGCAATCTAGTAAAAGCAAGCTTTGGACATTGGCCTGATAAAATTGTCTTTGTTCCTCTTTCTTTGTTGTTGCTGTCCCAGGTTGAAGCTAGCACAGTTTCTTATTCAAAGTGCCCTTGCTTCTCTTCGGCCAGGGCTTCCATGAGTGCCTTATAAAGGCTGACCCTCACTGGAGCAGATTATAATGTAGCACAGAGAGCTAAATATAGAGGGAAGCCAGGCCTGTGCTCCAAATAGTAACAGCTAAACGATAGAGACTTTAGTGAAGGGATTATCTTCATTTAGTCTTTCAGTACCAGTAGGTGAGTCTCTGTGTTTGTCTGTTTGTTTTAATTTTCGGTGTTGTGTACATCAAAATCTTCACGTACTTTTTTTATGTTTACATGTTATTATGTTATTTTCCACATAGACCCTATTGAGGTTGTGTGAAAACTAAGCCCACGTAGTGAGGCTATGAAGAAACAAACTTTTGTGTTTAGAACTGAAGGAAGTGTCAAAGGAGCTAAAGGTTTTTGAAATAGAGTAATTCACTCATAGGTAGGCTGTGTTTGCTGGTAATTCTCCATTAGCAGAAAAATAGAAACAAAGTAGAGTTAATTAGGGACTTCCGTGTGTTTATATTCTGGACCCTAAAATAAAACTCTTAGAAAGGGCTCACACTTTTAAAATATTTTTTATTAATTCGAAAGTAAAAACATCTTTGGCAAAGAGTAGCTGCTTCCTTGTATGTTCATCAACTAGCGCAGGTTCAGGCTACTTGGCCTCCATTTTTGTTTTTGTATCTTGGTACGAGACCCAACTCTTTAATAGGTATTTTTCCTTGCTAACACAAGAAAACATTTTTTGTGATATTTGTTGTGTTTGGGGAGGTGTGGAAATGATAAAGAGCACACACATATATTCATTACTTGTGCCGCTGTGAAATGTTTGCTGATCCGGAGTAGAATCTGTTGAAAATGCCAACAGGGAAATTTCTGAACGAAAGAGCTTCACAGTGACTATAAGTAATGCATTAGAAGCTCTATTTCCAACATCTGTCAAATGAAATGAGATTTCATTGATTAAGTTTATTGCATTTGTAGCTATTTCAATATGTAGCGGCTGCCCCATACACACAGCAATCAATCACTTTCTCTGCCCTTGTTCCAGGTCTGTACTGGTGCTCTTCACCTCGCATTGTGTTGTACACGTTCCAATTTTATCTCTGCTGGGCTCTGTGCTCCTTCAGGGTGTGGAATCTGGCTTAGTCATGTTTGTGTCTCAAAGCGTGGTGTATTAAGTTCATTTTATTTTATAGGATTGATAAAAATTCTCTCCACTTAAACCATGAAAGAAGTTACTTTTTGTGTTCACTATTTTTGATTAGTTTCACTTTTTAAATTATGATTAAAATTTTCAATGATAAACAGATGCTTTCTATGTGAAGTTTCTTTCTATGATAGAAGTTTCTCTTCTTTCATGGGATGGGAAGAAAGTTTTGGTACATAAACTGAATAATAATTTTTTTATGTTCTTAAAGATTTTTTTTAATCTTTGCAATGTAATTAATTTAATTGAATACTGCAGATTTTCCTGATTGTTTAATAGTATAACTAATGGAGAAAATCTAGTCATTTTCAAATCACAATTTTAAAAAACTTTGAAATGTAATTAAATAATTTGCTTGACATCTTACTTGTTTGGTCTTCATAGTTTAGGCAATCTAGACATGGTTTAAGATTATAATATTTATACCTGCAAGCTTATTCTCAATTTTTAAAAGATCTTATAGAGCAGGTTTTTTGAAGATAATTTATTATATTTTTCAATTGTATATTAAATCCAGTAGAAGAATTTGAAATACCCAAATCCCCATCCTCTAAGGTAAACAAAGAAACGGAAAACCTACTAACAGTTTTTATATCTTTCTTAAATTTTCCTTCCATAGAAAAACAAATGTTATATATACCCTCTTTTTAACAAAAAAAATTATGCTTTGTGCTCTTTTGTTCACCTTGCTTTTTTCTGTTAACAGTATGCCTTGAGCATCTTTCTGTGTCAGTGCAACAGCTTTTTTGACAATTATGTATTAAATGCTTGCTCTTTACTGGGTGTTGTTTTAGGTGCTAAAGATACAGTATTGAGTAAAACTGCAAAGACCCTCCCCACACTGAAGTTACACTCTTAGGGGGAAATAGACCATAGGCACGCAGGTAATAATAAAATGGCAGGTATGGCTAAGAGAAATAAAGCTAGGTAAGGAGAGAGTGAAGAGGGGCCCCGTTAGTCGGGATGGTCAGGGAAAGCCTCGCTGAAAAGGAGGCATTTGAGTGAGTGCAGAGAGTGAGCCACCCGAATGGCAGAGAAAGATCCTTGCCAGCAGAGAGGCGATCTTCTCTGGCACACTGAACGAAGAAAGGGCAGTGTGGCCGGAGCACAGTGAGTGATGGGAAGAGAGGTCAATGTAGGAAACATAATCGGAGAGGTAGCTAGGGCCAGAAATCTAGCAAATTTAGATCTAATTTTGTAAAGCTTCATAATGTGCCATTTGATGGCTTATTAGAACTTATTTAACCAGATTCATGTTTACGGGCATTTAACTTTCCATTTTTTTATGCGTCCAGCAATGCCGCAACTAAATCCTTTCACACACACACACATGTATGTTTGCATAACTTGTGTGGGTATAACTGAGGAGTAAATCCATTGTAAAGGAATTGCTGGGCCACAGGTTATGTACATATAAATATTTATAGATATTCATCAAATGCTTTCCAAAAGTATGGAGTCTATCTCCTATGCCATAGTTTGCATCTGGTTGTTTTCCCTGTGTCTTTTGTCAACGCTAAGTATTATTCAACTTTAAAAGTTTTGCTAGTTCAGTAGTTCAAACTATATCTCATTTTTAAAAATATATTCAGTATGGGTGAGGTTGAACATATGCTTATTAGCTAGATCTTTTTATATGAACTGCTTATTTGAAATGCGTAATCTTTATTTTCTTTGTTTTCAGAAATTTTATGAATAAGCATCAGAAGCCAGTGCTAACAGGCCAGCGGTTCAAAACTCGGAAAAGGGGTAGGTTGTGTGAGTGTATATGTGTGTGTGTGTATGGAGACGATGTGTGTGTTTAAAGTTCTAATCAAAATATAAGATTGGAGAAGAATTAGAATTTATCCCTGTTTCCACCTAACTTCACTAATTCTACTCTTGAGCTCCGGATGTAGAATCTGAAGTCCTCCATTCGAGCCTCAGAACTGCCAGTTACTTAGATGCCTGATTTTGGACGAGTCATTTAACTTGTCTGAACTTTGTGTTTTTATCTACAAAATGGGGTTGATTATCTCTGTTCGAGTTGCCTTACTCTCATGTGAGGCTATGCGATTGATAAGCTTTATCATTTTTGACATCAGCATTTGTATTTGGTTTTCCTTTCTTTGTTGTTTTTAAGAAAGTGTTCCTAGCAAAGATGGTAAAACTAAGAGGAGAGTAATTTAGGGAAAGAGATATTGAAGAGTTTTTACCTTTTCAGAATTTAGGAAGTCAAATTAAATTTACTGCCCTGAATATCTTTAAAACCCAGGTTGTTTTCAACTGCCTCTATGTGGGAAGAGTAGTGATGGCCCAGTTTGATGATGACTGGTAAAATTTCTGTTTGTGTGAGTGACTTCTTTTTACATTATCTTCATCTTATCCTCCTTGCTGTGTAAAGAATATTTTTAAAAAATTTATATTTAATCAGTTTTGCATATTATATAGTGATCCTCTTGGATTTAAGAATAGTTGAGCCGAAACTTGATAGGGAAACTTTTTTAAACAGGAAACATGAAATTATTCTGTTAACTAACACTGAGGAGAGTGATTGAAAAATATTTACGGAAGAATCATGTATAAAGATAAGTGATGATTGAATATCTGTCTGGAGGCCTCACTGCTGAGTATGAAGCATAACGCCGTGTAATGGTCATCAAGTGCTAACTCGTTGGATTGATGACCTATGCTCTTGGCATTTCCAGCACTGAGGCAGCGCCTGCACCTGATGATCTCTTGTAGGGCTTTGTCTGCATAAGTAGCAAGTCCAGTCATGTAGGAAAAAAAGAAGTCTCAACAGGTCTTTTGGGTTAGAAGAGTTTGCAGGAGTCACTAGACAGCAGTAAGGCTGAATTTAACTGTAAATGCTGCCTGCTGGAAAGCTTCACATTCCCACTAAACAATGAAAATTAAGAAGTTTAGAAGTAACGAAAAATGGTAATTTTGTTCAGTATTTCTGTCTTGCGTTCTCCTCTTTCCTGTTTTTTTCATCCCTGGCTCGTTCCCATAAACTCAGTACACATACAGCCTGCGCAACCTCACTCCATTTGGTGCTCATCTTGGTCTTACAAACTGTGTCCCCATTCCCTTCCCCCATTGAAATCTGGAAGCAGATATCAATACAGGATGCTACAACCGACAGGCATTCTTTGTCTCATTGTTTAAAGCAGTCTTGAGGGCGGGGGCGGGGGTGGGGGGGGAATGACGTGGATGGTTTCAAAAGGACTTAATCAGTAAGGAATAATACAGTTCAGAAACCTAATTACAGTTAAGGTATTGTTTGGCCAAGTAATGTGATAATACTTAATGCATATTTGCCTGTGAGGTGCAGAGAGCTTTGCCATCACCTGCCTACTGAGGGAATGTGTTAATCTCAGACCTGGATCTCGAGATCAAGCAGCTTTATGGGTGTGACGCTGATTCCCGGTAACTGAGCTCAAAAGCCGAGAGAAGGCCCAAGGATGTGTTGCACAACAGCTCATGATTCAACAGTTCAACTGGCCTTTACAGTCTGTCCTCAGTTTTGAACTGGAAAGATTTTCTCTAATTCTGAGAATTAGAGATTCTGATTCGGTTCTGATGCATTTGGTGTTCAAGATTGTGCCTGCGTCTTGCTGCTGCTGGAGCACTGAGAGAGCTGTCGAGAAATATATTCTATACTATTTGTCAGCTGATCTGGATTTATATAACATAGATCTCTAGGGGATTTAAGCAACAGTTGAGCCATTTTGTGCCAAATTGCTGACTGGAAAAAAAAATGGAGTCAACCTCATTTTCTATTCTTCATAATAGTGAATTGCCTCCTGACGGTTTATTGTGCTTTGGCTTTTCTTTGCACTTACGGTGGGGCTGACTTGAGATAAATGGTCTGCGGTTTTGTAGAAAAAATCTACTGAGGATATTTCAAGGTCATTTTGGTAGGCTGTCTTCTGAAGATCTGTCTTCAGTTTGAAGCTATTTCCTAACAAAGCTAATGTTCTTCCATGCCAAGTTAGTACAAAAGTGCATTTCTTATTGCGAACATTGAAATTAAACATTATGGTAGATACATCATATAGAGCTCCCTTCAGACTCTCTTTTCCTTTATAAAATATGCACATCTTGTTTATTATATTTTCTCCAAGGAAATTATGTTTTCTAGTGTGGCTCATGGGAACCTAAGAGGATGAAAATTTCTCCTCTGAGCTATTGTTATGCTTAGCTAAGTGAAATATTTAATAACTGAACTGGCCTCCCTGTAAATTTTGTAGGGAAATTGGATTAAAATTAGTGAAAATAGGAGAGAAACAAAATGACCAAACCGCAGGCATCCGGAGTGACCACGTCCTCGGGTTTCTCCCTAAGACTTCAGATCTCTGCTGGGGGTTTTAAATCACTCTTGGACTTATAAGAAGTGGTGTTAGCAACTAATTGAGTAAACCTTCAAGTGTTGAAATATATATGTGTGTGCATAGTTAGAAACCCGTGATAGTTCCTATTCATTTGCTATACCTCACTGACTCTAAGAAAGGGATATGGGTTATGTTATTTATTATTAAATTAACAGGTAGGAAAAATGCTCTATTAACCAGGTACTGTAGTTCTCAGAGAAAGCAATGTATTTAGATAGTTTACAGGCGTACATGAGTGTCATAAATAGGCCCGTTTCTCTATGTCGGTATAAGGGCTATTGTGACGAACTCTTCAGTGTCGCACTTGTGATTCACCAACACAGTATAAATTTGAGACCCTGATTATATATTTCCCACCTCAAGGGAGGTTTGACCTGCCAAATGGAAACTCAAGGAAGCAGTGGCGTATTTTCATTAGGATTTTGTTAGTATTTCTGCTAGACTGTCCTCAAATGCAATAGGAATTGTATGCACTGTTGTTTCAAATGAAAAAGAACCTTTGGGTAAAATGTTGTCTTGTTTTCCCAAATTGCCATCGGTGTTCTTGCCATTTTCTTGCTCGGGAATTTTGTCTTCCTCCGGATGGACACTTTATCTTAGCAGATGGGAGGTGTTTTCCAGCCTGCAAAAGAATTACTAATCCTATCATATCGTCATGACTTTTTAAGATTCCCAAGCTATAAGTGATTATTTCGGCCTATTGCATGATTGCTCACTGTTGAAATATCCTTGGCCATGATACGCTGTCTTCCTCTTTTCCTCTTCCTTGGCGGATCTCTTAGGAAAGTATAACCAGAGGATGAAGGCCTTTGTATGAACACAAGATTTTAAGCTGTCTCTGAGATTCAAAACGAAGTCCTCTGCATGAATTCATAGCATAGTCTGGGTTTTACCTTATTTACCAACTTATATTTTCCAGTGCTTCGAATTTATAACTTTGAAATCACGAAAGCCTGTTCTCCCACCTGAGTCAACATTCAAGCATGTTGTAGTGCATGGTGGGGATGGCCTCAACTGATTTTGGAAGCTGGTCACAAGACTTAATAAACAGCTGGTGATCTTTTTACTTCCATGTTCTCATGTTACAGGAAAGAAAACTTTTTCTCCCGCTGGGGAGAGAATTATCCTTTGGCTAGACCTTGAGTAGAGGGTGAAGTTTCCTTTGCTTGCCACTGAGCTCCTCCTGCTCAGTCAGTCACCCCTCCTCCAACTCCTCATCATCTGTTCCTCTAGTGCTCCCGTTCTCTTCTTCCCCCTCTGCACAAAAAGACTAATTTTATTTTTTCTGTAATCAACATTTGCGTGTTTTTGGCTGCATAATGTTTTGCTTATGTCATCAAAAGGACTTTTATGTCTTATTCATGACGAATCGTGTTCAAGTTAATTTACATCTGTCTTTATGGTATCTTAGTCTGCGTGACTCTCACGGGTACTGGGAATGCCATCTTCTCCTCTGGTTATGATGCTGTGATGTTAACCCCTTACAACCCACCCCTTTTATTAGACCACTCTAAGTAGTCAGTCTGTACAAACCAGACAGGTGCTGTCTGGTTTTTAAATGTAGAGTTTAATTATATCAAAGTTGTGCATGCACATGGTTTAAATGGTCACACAGTTCTCTAAGACATGTTATAACAACAGCAAGTCTGCTCCCTAGAGAAACTCTTTCTGCTCTTTAACTGCTTCTTTTATTATTTACGTTCATGAAGCCAAACAACATCCTTATGTGGCTATTTCTTGATTTTTCTGTTGGAGGTATTGTGCACACACTTCCTACTGTGGAAGATCAGGATTTGGCGCTCCCACACTGCCCCCACCCACCTGCACACCTCCTGTCCCTCTCTATCCTTTCATTACATCACAGTTATAGCCAGCCTATGTTCAGGGCTTATATTATCGTGACTTTGGACATGCTATTTGCAGCTGAACTGTTATTTGATTACCTTTCATTTTCTGAATATCATTTTATCTTTGGATTTAATAAGTTTAATAATTTACTTTTTTTTTTTTTTTTTTTTTTGCTTAGTTTTCTGTGCCTCAAACCTAGTCAACTCTAATCTTTCCCTTTGAAGAAATTTCTGGTTTCTGGTATTTCTGTTGAGCAATTCAGTGTCATTCTGTTTCTTGATACTTTATATGTGATTTGGGTTTTTGCCCCTGAAACTTCAGATAATTGCTTTATTCCCAGTATTCTGAGATTTCACGATAATGAATGCACCTTATGGTGTAGCCACTTTCAGTCCTTATGCTGGGTGCCCAGACAGCCCTTTGCTGGGAAACTCATGTCCTACAATTCTGCAAAACTTTCTTGAAATTTTTTAAATAATTTCCTTTCCTTTCTTTTTTTTTAATTCTCTTTTTATTTTATTTACTTATTATTTGGACGTTTGACTGCTCTGCCCTTTTTCTTATCTTTTTGCTCCTATTTTCTAGGTCTTTGACTTTCTTTTTCTAGTTTCTAAAAGATATTCTCAGCTTTCTCTTTCAACTCTTCTTAACTTTTTCTATTTTATTTTTCATTTCCAAGGACTCTCTTCTTCATGAAATGTTTTCCTTTTTTATAGCATCCTCTTCCTCTTCCCTTCCTCCTGCTTCTCCTTCTTCTCTCTCTCTCTTTTTCTTCTTTTGGTGAGGAAGATTGTTCCTGAGCTAACATCTGTGCCAATCTTCCTCTATTTTGTATGTGGCACGCTGCCACAGCGTGGCTTGATGAGCAGTGTGTAGATCCGCACCCAGGATCTGAACCCACAAACCCCAGGCCACTGAAGCAGAGCACGTGAACTTAACCACTGTGCCACTGGGCTAGCCCCCTCCTCTTTTTTTATAGTTGCAATATCTATTTATCTTTCTGAAGATATCCATGACAGGAATTTTTTATTTTTACGTTTTGAGTTCATCCTTTGCCCCTTTCTCCACACATCCAGACTCATTCTCCATAAAGGGGAAAGAACCACTTAGGCCACTTAACCACTAGCCCAGGTGGCCTGATGGTTAAGTTCAGCATGCTCCACTTTGGTGGCCTGGGTTCAGTTCCTGGGTGCAGACGTACACCACTCTGTTAGTGGTCATACTGTGCTGGCAGCCCACATATTAAAAAATAGAGGAAGATTGGCATGGATGTTAGTCCAGGGCAAATCTTCCTCAGCAAAAAAATAAAAAATTTAAAAAAAATGGTGAAGTCCTTTGAATTGAATCTTAGATCCTTTGCCTTTAATCTAGTCATTTTTTAATGCCTCATCTGACCTCTAGTTTGTTATCTTCACTTCTTTTCAACAAAATATCTGTATTCCTAAATCCTCTAAAGCCCTTTCAAGGGTTCTACAAAATCCAAACTTTTCATAATAATACTAAGATATTATTTGCCCATTTCATACATTCTCTGGTGAGTTTACAGTGGAGTTTTTCAGAGGCTACAGAAGGTGTGATGTTACAACAGATTGCACGCAACAGATATGGGAATCCACCCGTCTGATATTAAGCCAGGTGTTAAAGAGAGGTGTAAAACACCGCCTCTCTTCTCACTTTTTTTATTTAATAAATATTTTTAAATTTTCTGTTTTAATTTCTATAAAGTAAATATCCATAGATGTAACCTCCATAAACAAAAAAGCTGTTTGGAATCCCCAGTACTTTTTAATGATGTCAAGGGATCATGAAACCAAAAAGGTTGAGAACATCTGCTCTGAAGCTATAAATATGCATATATTGCTCATGATATATATTAAATCTTCAAGTACCCTGAAATAATTTATCTTGTAATGAGCGATGTCCCTCCAAGAAATAACAAATGTTGGCGATGATGTGGTGCAAAGGGAAGCCTTGTGCACTGTTGATGGGAATGTAAATTGGAAACAGTATGGATGTTCCTCAAGAAATTTAAAATGGAACTACCGTATGATCCAACTATTCCACTTCTGGGTATTTATCTGAAGAAAACAAAAACACTAACTCAAAAAGATATATATACACACTCATGTTCACTGCAGCATTATTAACAATAGCCAAGATATGGAAGCAACCTACATGTCCATAGATGAGTGAAGGGATAAAAAGAAGAAAATCCTGCAGGTTGTGACAACATGAATTGGACAGCATGAATGGACCTTGAGAGCATTACGCTAAGTGAAATAAGTCAGACAGAGAAAGACAAATACTGTATCACCTAACTTATATGTGGAATCTAAAAAAAACAAAACACTACAAACTCACAGATACAGAGAACAGATTGGTGGTGGTAGGGTGTGGGTGAAATGGGTTAGAGTGGGCAAAAGGTACAAACTTCCAGTTATAAAATAAATAAGTCAGGGGATGTAATGTACAGCGTGGTGACTATAGTGAATAATATTGTATTGTATATTTGAAAGTTGCTAAGAGAGTAAATCTTAAAAGTTCTCATCACAAGAAAAAAACATTTGTAACTGTGTGGTGATGGATGTTAACTAGATTTATTGTGGTGATTATTTTGCAATGTATATACAAATACTGAATCATTATGTTGTACACCTGAAATTAATGGAACGTTATATGTCTATTATATCTCAGTTAAAAAGTAATAAAGAGATGTTCCTACTTATTTCCTCCCTCTCAATCTTTACTTTGTTTATACATTGTCCTTTATTCTTAGGTGATTGTCCCTGCATCATTTTCTTTCTCTGTCTTAGATGAAACAAAATTTTAAATTTTGGTGGTTATACTTTATTTTTTCTCAGATGGTTAAGGTTAATAGATTACATTGGCCTATACTATGAATGACACAAATGACCAGTCAACAATTTTATTATGTATTAGTTAGTGTTAACATATTTTTGTGGCCCCTTTTAAGCAGAAATAAATTATTTGGCTGAATAAATGTTTAAACAAGGGGTTTCAAGACCTGGAAATCTAGTACTAAAACTTAACTGTCCTCCAACTTTTAAGTAATCACCTTATCAAATAAAGAACAGTGAATGCAGGAAATACATGGTTGCATTTGGGAATATGATATGTAAATAAAGGAATAATTTTATAATTTATTTATTTTAGATGAAAAAGAGAAATTCGAACCCACAGTCTTCAGGGATACACTTGTCCAGGGGCTTAATGAAGCTGGGGATGACCTTGAAGCTGTAGCCAAGTTTCTGGACTCTACAGGCTCAAGATTAGATTATCGTCGCTATGCAGACACGCTCTTCGATATCCTGGTGGCTGGCAGTATGCTCGGTAGCTATGCGTTATAGCATCTTCTTGTAGTATATGTACTTCCAATTCTATTGAAATAGTTCTGTACAGGATAGAATCTTTATAAGCTTACATTTATGAGAGTTGATAAGAAATACAAATGAGAGTGTCCACAATTTTTACTCAGTGGTATTAATGTGGCTGTGAAATGGTTATTGGTTAAGAGAGGCATAGAATTAGGGATTTTTGTTGACATTACAAACATAGTTGGCCACTTTGCTTTAACTAAAAGCCAACTTTCCCATGTGTCCCTAATCTTTAAATCTTTCTGGAGCAGACATAGGGGAAATAATTTCTGCAGCAGAGTATAATTTTGTGTGTCTAGATCCTTCCAGTACATTTAACATGTTCCACTATATTTAATTAACCCCCAAAGTCCATAGCACCTTTTCTTGTGATCCCCACCCTTTTTTTTGGTGCAGTGAAATGTAACTGTGTCAACAAATTTAAAAATAATTCCCAGTGTTTCATTAAATGCCATTTCATCCACAAATGTCTAAGAACTATAGTTTAAACCTGTTTTAATCCTTGAAATTGTGGATATATAGCTAAAAGGATTAGAGAGAGAAGATGATTGGAAATTATTAAAGACATGTAAAAAGCAAAATAAAAACTTTGTCTTATAGAGCAGAAGCGTCAGAGAAGAAGACTTCAGAATACTATTTAAGTGACATGGTTTATTGATCTAAACGTTTATTAGGTATCATAACCGCCATTTTCCCTCTCATAGTTATTCCTAGATCTTAGTTTTTAAAATTCGTTCCTGTAGGAACCATAAATCACTAGAAGTGGTCAAATCTCCTAGGCCAGTGATTTTCAATTATCTAGGGGACATTGCTAAATGTCTAGAAGTGTTTTGGTTGCTATAAAGACTTGGGAGTAGAGACCAGTTGTGCCACCTCCTTTGCCATGCAAGAGACTTTGAGTACAATGAAAAGTTGCCCTGCCCATTGCACCATTAGTGCCTTTCCTTGAGAAATGCTGCATAAGCCAACCTACTTTAACACAAAGTATATACATTCCTCCATTTCAAGGTGGAGCCACCCTCGAATTCCTCCCTCTGAGCTCTTCTATCTGTTTTGATACATGGCCCCATTTACTACCAGGCCCCTTTTGATCTGTGCTGCTAGTTTTCACTACATACCAAATTAATTTTGCTGTTGTTAGTGTTTATAAATTTCTCACATTATCACTATAGATAATTCAAGTCCAATTATAAAAGGTATATGTAGTGTGTTCAAATCCCAATACCCGCAGATAACATTGTTAATATTTTGGTTAATTCCCTTCTAGAAATCTCTTTACCTAAATACACAAACTTTTGAGAATGGGATGATATGCTAATCTGATACTCTGCATGCTGTTTTGTATTTACTCAGCAATATGTTGTTGCCTTTCATGCCCATGAGTGTTACCTTGGATGATGCTAAAAAGAATTTAAACCATACTGATGTTGAAGAATATTTAAGTTGTTTCCAGTTGTTGTTATTATAAATAACAATGTCATCAGTATCTGTATACACATCTTTGTGCTTTTATCTGATTATATCTTTATGTATTTAGCAAGGGATTAATGAATTGAAGCATGGAGATATCTATATCTATCTGAGAGAGAGAGAACCAGTCCTCAAAAAGAATATTCTAATTAACATTTTATCAAAAAGCATGTGTTCCTATTTACCTGCACTGTTAGCAATGTTAGGTACTCTCAACTTTGTCAGTTTTTAGATCTTTGTCAATTAGGAAAGTGATAAATATTTTCATTTAAAAAATTTAAATTAAAAGTGAAGTTGAATGCTTTCTAATGCTATTTTTGGTTTTTTGTATTTCATGAATGATGATATAGTTTTATTGGTATGCTGGTACATTCCGTGCCTGAATAGTCTTCAGTGAGTTTGCTTCTTGCCAAAGTCACACATGAGTTCGTTAGTCAATCACATGGACCCTTTTCAGTGCTTAGTGCCCTCCTGGCAGCCCTTTGGAGCCTTGCGCCATTTTTGAAATGTTTTACTTTCTTGCCTTACATGAGACCATTGAGACATGTCTCAGATGCCACTTTTTACCTAACTCCTGGGTTTCCATACTTACTCCCCCTACGTATGTATTAAATTTTCTGTTCACTTTGCGTTGATTATCTCAAGCCTTTATTTACCATCTGTATAATGATGATCAGCTAGTTTTTATCTGCAGCCCAGATTTCACTCCTTCACTCCACACCCAGACATCCAAGAAGAGGGTAGGACAAAATGTTTGCTACAACTTACTGAGAGCATAAGGCAGGATGTCTTATGTCTACTGAGGCCAAGCCTATGATGTAATTAATGAATGAAGCCAGCCAGGTGCATTCTTTTTATATAAACACTTTGTTTACTTGTTGAGTATGTAAGAATTTTCTTTACACCCACAAAAGAATTTACCTCCTCCCATTGTTCTTGAAACAATAGTCATTTTGGTTTTTTAATTGTATCCTTTGAAGAGTATGTATAAAAATATTTTACTTTCTATTACCTCTACTTTGAGAAAAACAGGCTCACAAAAATTTTAGAAATGGGAATTAATACTTGGTTCCAAGATCAGGGAAAAAAATTTAAATGCAAGGTGTAGCAATATTATTAATGTGTAACAGATGTTTTGTTTTATAAAAGAATGCAATTTTTAAAACTTACCTCTTAAGAGAAAAGATAATAGTTTCAAAATCAGACTTTTCAGTTATGTAACTTCTGTCAGTTAGAAATCTTAGCCCAGAGTTTTTAGAAGATTATCATCATGATAAAATTGTGTTCCAGGTGGTTGTATTCATTACAAAGGGCTAATTAAACCTTGTGCATAAATTAAGTGCATGAAAATAGATTCCTGAATGAGCTGACTTTTCTAAAAATTAATTTACTTATAAAGCTGTATGCTGGAGTATGAAAAAAAATTGGCTATGTGTAGCTCTTTTCATCCAAAGATCTGAAATCACAAGTTAAATCAAGGCAGTTATACACTTAGAAAGACAGAGAGAAAGGAGTGAAAGAAAGAAAGAGTGGGGAGGATGGTACAAGTATATATTCTGCAAATATTTCTCAAGTATATGAAAGATATTAATCTAACTTGGCTTGCTCAAACCTTCTACCCTAATTTCAGTGAAGTAGAATCAGAAAACAAAAATACCTAGTCTCCTGATTCTGCTCTTCTAATCAACCAATGTTTGGAATGGCACCATTGAAACTTACAGGAAGAGCCTTTAAATGTGGAAAGTTGAGTCATAAAAAAAGGCATTCTTTCGTTCTAGTCCATTTATTTCATGATATTTTATAGGCCATGGGGAAAAAAAGATGAGAGGGAATAAAATGCTCTCTTTCGTAGCCAGTGCATCTGCTAGGTGATCAAATACAAATGGCAAGGAGTCAGTGTATACTGTTCAACTCTGCATGGATAACTGGGTTTGTGGAGGAGGGAACAGTTTCAATACCTACTCAAGTAGAAACCAGCAAGATCTACCATAAGAGCCAGGTCTGGTCAATCTCAGTGTTGGTGAACTGGAGTCCAGCAAAATATTATCAAGCCTGAAAAGTGAACCATGTCCTAGTGGGAAACGTCAGGAACTGAATTGAGAATAATTGTATTAAGTTCACCGAATAAATATTATTGTTAACTTCCATGGTTAAGGATATACTTTGGAAAGAACCAGACTTACATTGATAGAATCTAGTGAAGGCAAGAATGTAGCACAACAGTCTCATACGTTGTGGTGGAAATATACAATGGAATGACCAATTTGCATTATATTCAGAACATGAGCAAATACATAACAACATGTACGCATCTACACATGTGCATCATTCCATGAAATTTTATGTGGCTCTTAGATTTTACATCTACTTTTATTGTTTTCCTCGATGTGCAGGAATTGATCTGTTTGGCAAATGCTCTTCTCATTTCAGAATTGTCCTAACTGTAGTTGCCTTTCTCATTTCAGCCCCTGGTGGAACACGCATAGATGATGGTGACAAGACCAAGATGACCAACCACTGTGTGTTTTCAGCAAATGAAGATCATGAAACCATCCGAAACTATGCTCAGGTAGAGCTTGTTGCTGAGAGATTGTTGTGTTAGAAGGGAAATGTTTGAACAGGAAGCATCTAGGGAAACATTAGATTCAGGAATTCCACAGGCCACTTTTTAAATAGGAATGTTAGCTAGCTCTTAAACATATGAAAAGACCCTCAATTGCATTCATAGTAAGACAATGGGCATTAAAATTTCACGAAGGTTTTTTTATGGCTCACCTGTAAGGGACTTGGGGAATGAGATGCTCACGTGATTTCTGGTGGGAGTGTAAATTGGTCCAAGCTTCAGGGAGAGCAGTTTAGCACTGTCTTTCAAAACTAAAACTGCACGTTCCCGTTGACCCAGCAATTCCACCTCGAGGACTTCATCTTGCAGATAAGCTTGCACATGTGTGAAATGACACATGCAGTGGTAGTTATCACACTCTTGCTTGTAATAATATCAAAGAATGAAAGCAATATAAAAGTCAATCGATAGAGTACTAATATGTAAAGTTTGTTAATTCATATTAATAGGCTATCATGTAGCTGTTAAAAAGAAAGAGACAAGAAGATATTTGTAGTACATAAAATCTATAAAGGATTCATATCCAGATTAGATAAAGAACTGCAAGTCAATAAGAAAAGGATAAGCAACCTATCAGGAAAAGTCATATAGGCATTTCCAGGAAGAGGAAACAGCCCAAAAACAGATGAAGACATGTTCAAACTTGTTGATAATTAGGGAAATTTCAATTAAAGTCATGAGACGTCCTTTTGCATTCATTAGACTGGTAAAAATTAAGTCTTTAGGCCCTAAGGAAGGTCAGGAAGTGGCAGGAGTGTAAAATGGAGCAACCTAGTAGACGTGACCTTGTAAAGCTGAATGTGTGCATCCTGAGCAGCCAGCTTAGGATTGGTGTGTTTCTGTTCTGATTCTATCTCTGACTCTTCTTATAAGTCAGCATTATTCCCAACTTAAGTATGAGGGCAAGTTGAAGGTCACCAAGTCTTCCTGTTATACACATCAGTATATACCTGAAGAAGGCCAGAGGAATTACTGGCAGTTAAATGATTGAATTTAAACTTCAAGGGGCAACCCTGGTGGCTTAGTGGTTAAGTTCATTCACTCCACCTTGGTGACCTAGGATGTGTGGGTTCAGATCCCAGGCATGGAACTACACACTGTACATCAAGCCATGCTGTGGCAGCATCCCACATACAAAAAATAGAGGAAGATGGGCAACAGATGTTAGCTCAGGGCCAATCTTCCTCACCAAAAAAGAAAAGAATTTAAACTTCCAAAAAGTATTGTAATTACATGCTGTTTTAGCAAATATATTTCTTTCCTGGTTTATATTTAAGAAATGTATAACAAATGAAAGCAGAGAAAATCTTTTAAGCATACAGGATTGAGTGGGCCGGGTTCTAACCTGTCCTCTGTAAATCTTTGCTTCTTCTCTGGATGTAAATGCCCAAAAACACCTTGACCAGGTGTATACTGAAGCAAATATACTCAATTCAAAAGCTGGTCTTTTACATGTGTATTATTTTGCTATTTGAGTTCCACTGAGAAAGAAAGATAAGAAGGCCTGGAAGAGAAATCATTACTTCACTATACTTTCCCATAAACTTAAAAAGATAGAGAGTTCACCTCTTCATTATATCTAAATAGGATTGTTTCTTTTTACAGATGATTTTATTTTTCATACAGAATATGTGTATTTGAGGAAAGACCCTTTGATACGTTGTTGTTTCTGAGTTTAAAAGTTATTGTATCCTTGGGCCCGCCCCGTGGCTGAGTGGTTAAGTTCGCGTGCTCTGCTTCGGCAGCCCAGGGTTTCACCAGTTCGGATCCTGGACACGGACCTAGCTCATCAAGCCATGCTGAGGTGGCATCCCACATGCCACAACTAGAAGGACCCACAACTAAAATATACAACTATGTACTGGGGGGCTTTGGGGAGAAGAAGGAAAAATTAAACATTAAAAAATTTTAAAAATAAAACAAAAAAATTATTGTAGCCTTATAGACTGACAGAAAAACTTGGTCAATGGGGTAGTCAAGGTGAGAGAGAAATTAAATGGAAAAGAGTATTTAGTGGAGATTAATTTTATAGTTGGAGAGTACTTTTATAGTATGATGATTTTTACTTTCATATGTAGACATTTACCTGTGGAGATTTGGATAATTGTTCTTGGATGAGGAGAATTCTTTTTCCTGTTAATAATCATCTTAAGGAATATGTGAGTGCTAGTGTAAGTCAGAAATCAAATTTGTAGGATTTCAATATAGTTTATTATTATTATTTTTTTATTGCATATCAATTCCCATGCTGGGTCATTAGTCTTTCCTCATAAAGGGCAATACTGTAATTTTTACTCTTGGACTCCATCTTGATTACATTAAGGAATAAACACAGTGAAAGTGTTTTATTGGTTTTTTTTTAAGAACAAATGGTCTATTTATTACACTTTGATATAGATAACTTATTTTGATCTCTTGACTCTGAAGGAGGTATTCTTGTCCTTAGTGAGAGGGAATGGTTTTCTTTTCTTTTTTTTTGTTTTGGTGAGGAAGATTGGCTCTGAGCTAACATGTGTTGCCCGTCTTCCTCTTTTTGCCTGAGAAAGATTGTTGCTGAGCTAACATCTGTGCCGATCTTCCCCTGTTTTGTATCTGGGATGCCAGATGCATAGCTTGATGAGTGGTGTCTAGGTCCATGCCCAGGATCCAAACCTGCAAACCTCAGGCTGCCAAAGTAGAGCACACAAACTTGACCACTGCACCACCAGGCTGGCCCCCTGAAAGTTTTAGATGAAAGTATATCATGTAGATATAAGAGAAAGGAATTAGATTCAGAAATCATTTCCACAGTTATTAAAATAATCAATATTTATAAAAATCGCTATTTAAATAAGAACATTGTATTAATCTTTTTGGGCTGCCATAACAATATACCACAGATTGGGTAGCTTAAACAACAGAATTTTATTTCTCACAGTTCAGGAGGCTGGGAAGTCCAAGATCAAGGTTCCGCTTGGATCTGGTTCCTGGGGAGGTCTCTCTTTCTATAGAGAATTACTATAAGGCCATCAGCCCTGTCAGGTTACGGTTGCACAGTTATGACCTCATTTGGCCACCTCCTAAAGTCCTTACTTCCAAATGCAGTCACCTTAGGGGGTAGAGCTTCAGCATATGAATGTGAGGGGAACACAAACCTTCAGTCCATAACAAACATCATTCCACTTACAAACAGTCCAGAATTTCACTGGCCTGTGTATACCCTGCTTGAGAGTTCTAACTGGATTGCAGGGGCCAGCAATCCTTTACTGCCATTAAGTTCTACCATTTTTTGCTCATCTGCTGCAAAAGTGTCTGTGTCCACATAGAGCATGATCTCCCATGAACTCTGCTCTCCTCTCCGTCATATCCACTGTCTATGTGATGACGTCTGTAACCCCTTCATTTCAGTTATCTTCCATCTCTGCATCTCACAGTTTTAAAATTACATTCATTTTATTTTCATCAAAGTTATTTTTGGTTTCTCCCCTGTTATATTCTTGAATGAATTTATTTTAGTCTCCACATGCATTTTGATCCTATTTTGTCCTCTAGGTCATAATTGGTGAGTTCTTCTGTAGTACTTATAGTTCTGATAGCACAAGGTGAGCATGTTTAACTACACATTTTTATTCGTGTCAATCTATGTTGTAGTTAGGGTGAGTTTTTACACCTCCTTCTATTGCCTTTTAATATTGTTTACGTAATATCTAATGGTTCTGCTTTACGTTTAGGTCTTCAATAAACTCATCAGGAGATATAAGTATTTGGAAAAGGCATTTGAGGATGAAATGAAAAAGGTAAAAATTCAAATGTCATGCCTTATCTATTTAAAGTGATGGAATGGAGAGGGACAAAAATTTTGCGTATACAACAATAGTCATAGGTACCATGGCCATTGTAAGTTTGTAATAAATGTTTGTTAAATGAGTGAGTATGATAGATCATTAGCCAATAACTATAGGAAGAGAGACATGATGAGCCTAGACTTTTTTCATTCATATTTCATGCAAGACAATATGCTTTGTTGAATAGGAATAGTTCCATAGAATATGATCTCTGATCTTGCAGAGTTTGACTAAAAACTAGAGATTCCAAATATGCAAGAAAAATAAATATATCAAGGGAAGAATCGAGATAAGGCGCTTTGATTAGTTAAAGCATGTGAAAGAGCCTCGCACAGCAGCTAATACTCAGTAAAGTTCTTTCGTTTTAGAAGGTGCAGTTGAGCAAAGGGGATAGAAGCACATCTTTGGAAACAGTGGATGGGTGTAAATCTCAGTGGCGTTTCTCATCTGTAAAATGGCTGCAATAAGAGTATGTACCTTATGGTTGTTGTAGGAATAAATGAGAAAACATATTAGGTGTTTCACACAGTAACTGGCCTCTAGTAAGTTGTGAAAAAGTAGCACTTTATTAAAGAAGCCCTCTTTTCAGGGTTTGCAGTATGATCTCTCATCTAATTTGTAACTCCTCTGTATTTATATATAGCAGTCACTACATTAATTTGTTACAGATTTGTGTGTTGCTTTGTCATTGTTTCCAGTGTTAAATCTACCTAAATTACAAACCACAGGAATAAAGGAAGCATAAAATCTAATTTGTGACTTTCTTCCTTCCCCCTGTTGACAGTGGTTCCATATATAGTGAAGAACATTTTGGCAGTAAAATCTTTTTTTTTTTTAAATTCACATTCTCCATGACCCGATATTCGTGTTTATAAGAATCTTTCAGCACAGATAAAACTATATGTATAAAGATGTTCATCACAGTGTTGAGATGTAATCTAAATGTTCATTGGTGGGAGACTGGTTAATTAAATTATGGTCTATTCGTACAGTGGGATGCTAAGCAATCTTTTATAGAAGGAGGCATAGCTACATGAAATGATAAGGGAAAATGCTCGTGATAAATTGTTGAATGAAAAAGCAAGGTGCAGAGCAACGATTTGGTAGTAGTTTGTGAGCAAGTTATGTATTCTTTGTGCCTCAGTTTTCTTTGCCGTAAAACAAGGATTGAGGCTGTTGTATTCATACATAGAAGGTGTTCAGAGGAGTATCTGCTCCACTCAACAAGTTGTAGCTATTATCAATGTATAATTCAGTAAAAACAACATGTGTATACATGTAGTTATTTATAATTTGTAGACATATGTAAGTGCATTTAAATATCTAGGACACACATCAAAATGTTAATGTTAATTCTAAGAGAGTAGCTTTAGAGAGATTTTTCTCATTTTTATATTATTCTGTATTGTCAGATTTTGTTCTACTAATATATATTACTTTTTTTAATATGAAAAATTATAAATGGAAAAAATGTGGTCCATTATATTGCTGCATGCTTAGAAAATAAGAAGTGCTTGTTTAAATAGAGGGATAGATATGATGCAAAACATGATGCAAAACATTCAAATAAATTAAACATCTTATCACTTTATCTAGTAATATCACTTATGTTTTTACTTCTCTCTGCTCATTTGAACCTTGAAAACTTATTAAGTATTTCATTCATGTATGGATATGCTTTCAAGAATGATTTATTTTTCAAAATATATCCGCTTTTCATTTTTCTAATAGAAGGCCAGACTGATACAAAGTGTCGATGGTTTTGTCAGTTCTTTTACTCTACGCCGTTCCTGGTGCTCCCAGATGCTTTAACCATTGATGCTTCGTTCCCTCACTCCCTGTTTTCTTGTGAACTTAGAAGATGACTTCTTTTTAATTCATTGAGATTTTAATAGAGATAAATTGGGAGTGAAATGGACTAGTTTGATTCCAGTTCTGCCACTTACTCATAATATAAATATTTGGAGAGTCACATAACCTCTCCATAAAGTAATAATCCTTTAACTGTTGGGGATAGTAAATTAATATTGCCCTACCCACTGGACAGAGTTAATGGAATTTCATTGGCACTAAAGCACTTACACCTATGTTGATGCCAGTAACTTTTCATTGGTGCAAAGTAATGAAAAAGTCAGCAGGGCCCTGATAGTGATATTGAGCCCTAGGGATCTCAGTAACATGCCTAAGGACTGATGAAATGGAGAAAATAGGCATGGATTGTAGTCAAAGCGCTAGATGGAGGAGGATTAGGAAAGAGGAGGGCATTCCACAGACTGAATACTCTTGGAATTCAAAATGGAGTCTGATCCGTGTGAAGGCTTCCCTTCAACCTTTCTGGGGTGGCTACTTTTTCACTTCCCCTTAGGGGAAGAGGCTGGGAGCACTGGGACCCAGAAGGACCCAAACAACATCTTCATCTTCTCGTTACCCCTCCAAAATTGCTCTTTCCAACTCACATCAGAGACCTTTTCTCCGTTAGGAACTTTTCTTTACCTCATATCCTCCATTACCTCATCACCAGGGCTGGTGATAAAACTGTGTGAGCCAAGAAATACTGCGTTTGAATCTCATTACTTTAAAAAGAACATTAAGAACTTAGAAAACTCTTTTTTCATTCAGCAGTCTTGTTTGAAAGAGTATGATGTGCTGTGAACTCAGAGAAGTATATGCTGAATGTCAAAGCTTATTGACTCTTTCTTGTTTTTCGTTTGTTTTGCTATAACAAACCCCCCCAAAAATGGGTAGATGTGGTGGGGGGTGGGGGGAGTGACGCACCCAAAGAAGTGAAAGACAATAATATATGTCAGAAAACATCATGTTCATTATGTAACACTTAACCTTTGTCATGTACAAAGTCAAATGTAAATTATTTATGCAACCTATTCACACTGTTCTCCAAATGTCTCTTTTCCTTCACATAAATGTTATCTATAGCTGTGTGTAAGTGAACTTGGAAGAAAGGAACTATGCCTGATAAAGTCTCTTACTGTAGCATTCAATTTATACCTGAACATATGTATGTGTTTCCAGTGAATAATAACTATGCGTTGTGTCTGACCTACTGGTTGTGTACCACCTAGCCATGGCGGGACATTCTGTTTGTTATTTTCCTGCTTTAGTCCTTTGCTTTATAGACATGGTTTCTTTTGTTTGACCCACAGCTTCTCCTCTTCCTTAAAGCCTTTTCCGAAACAGAGCAGACAAAGTTGGCAATGCTGTCTGGGATCCTGCTGGGCAACGGCACCCTTCCTGCCACCATCCTTACCAGTCTCTTCACCGACAGCTTAGTCAAGGAAGGTAATTCCTCTCATGTTTTCTTACCTGTCAGATGTAAAAGAAAAGTAAAGCCACAGATGGTTAGAAAAATGCCAATACCTCTTAGTATCCTCTACTACCGACCCTTCCTCCATATAAGAGAATGTGTATGTGTGTGTGTTTGTGTCTGTGTGTGTGTGTGTGTGTACCTTCAAGCAATAAGAGGATTGTACATGTTTATTGTAGGAAATTGAAAGAAAAAAATTGCACACTTATACAAAGACAAATAAAGACTAAGAATAAACTAGAATTTTTGGTGTAAAACTAAATGCTTAGGTCAAATACCCTGAAGTTGAACTGGTCCAAGCCATTTTTCTCAACTTAGATGCTACTGGCCTATTTTGTTGGCACAATGCTTCATTGTCCAGGACTCTTTTGTGCTTTGTGAGACATTTAACCTTTTTGCCCTCAGACGCAAAATGCCAGCCTGTAGCACCCGCCTCCATTTAGTATAACAACCAAAAATGCCCCTTCATGTTCCCAAATGCCCCCCAAATGGTTGTTTATTTCCCTGGTTACAGCCATTCTTCTAAACTGTTAACTTTCAAGATCTTATGCTCGTAGGTTCATTTTGATCACATTTTTAAGATATTTATTATGTCTGTTTTGGAAGTCCAGATGGCTGCATCAAAGTTTTGTTTTAATTTTAAAGCATTAAGAGTTTTATAGGCATACATACAATTTCTTGGTTATAGAATAAAACAAAAGTGGGCTCTTCTCTTGTAGGAGGATAATGATATTCAAGTTATAAGGCAACACAAAACAAAGAGTTATTTTTTTCTTAAAAATAAGTTAAAAGAACTTTTGTGAAAACATCTGTCTTCTTAGAACAAGTTTTTCTCCTATAAACATGAAGTCCCAGCCTCATTCATGCCTGCAGTGAAATGTGTTATAGTTTTCTTGTAGCAGCGAAAAGAATAGTAAATTGAGTCAAATATTATTTAGAGATTCTCTATAGTTTTCAGCTTTGAATAGCTCAGATTTATGATAGCTCAGATTCTGTAATTATTATTAACTTGTTAATAATTATAATAACATTTTAAAGTATTTCCTGAAGAGAATTTATGACACTTCACATGTCTTATTTATGTTACTAGCCAATTTACGCTAGGAAAACAAGAGAAAATGCCCTTACCTTCATAACAGAAAATAATTGCCTTTCTAGTTGTATTAAAAATCTAAATGATATATACAACTTTTTTGAAATGTAGCAAAAAATTAAATTATTAGATGAATAGATAGACAAGTGAGAAAGCAAATATAGCAAAATATTAAGAGCTGTAGAATCTAGATGGTGAGTATGTGAGTATCTACTGTTCAGTTTGTTCAACTTTTCTGTATGTTTGAAAATTTTTATAGTAAAGTGTTAGTAGGGTAGGGAAAGAGAAGAAAAATACCTTTGCTATGGAGGTGACATAGTGCCTGTGCTGGCTGGTTTTTCTTTATACTCCACCAACCTTAGAAACTAAAGAATTAAACTCTTGCTTCCTAAATAGGAAAGGATTAATAGAAATTACATCTTTTCCCCAACCTCCCACCTACCAAACGGCTAAGGGGGATGGGATCTTCCCACTCAGTAGAATCTCTGGTACAAAGAAATTTCTCCAACCTTTCTGCTAAGAGCCACTTTCAGTGCAAAATGATAGGTTTAAGCTTAGAGTTTGGACTCCTAGTTTCAAGCATACTTTATTTCTCTTACTTACAATATAGATTCACCATCTGTTATTTTTATTTAATTACTTAAATTTATGTTAAATTTTATATTGATTTTATGAACTAATGAAAGTGTTAAAAATCCATGTCAACAAGTTGATAATGTAAAATTCTCCAGCTTATAACACATGTTTTATTGTCATAGCCATAATTATTTTTGGCTTAGTTCCTCTGCTATTCAGATGAAGAAAATTGGGTAAAGTTGGTATCTATATAAATGATATGATATATCGGTCAAAAGTGTTTACCTTCGAGTAAGTGGAAGACAAGATTCAAATTGTTATATCAGGACATTTATTTCTTATGTAACAATAAGTATAAAAGTAAGGCAGACTTTAGAGTGAACGCAAATATCATTCAAGCCTCAGGTATTTTCCATGTTACCGTTCATAGCATCAACTGTTCTGCAAGGATGGGTTCCTTAGTCATTACAAGATGTCTGCTAGTATAGTTATGGCACATGCTTCCTCATTCAGGTTCAGTGGAAGAACACTTTTGAACATAGCGTAATTGATCTTGCCTTTGGCTGATTGGCTGAAATTGGCCACATGATCAGTTCTAGCCCAGTAGTGGTTGCCAGGGGGATGCCATGAGCAGATGGGTTCAAGCTGAGGTCATGAAACTAATCATTGCAGAAGGAGGTGGTACCAGGACCTAGACTAATTAAAAGTCACCTGGCCTGAACCAAAGGAAAATTCTCTCAGGAGAGAGGAAAGGGGAATAGAGGCTGCTAGGCCACCAACAATAGGGAAGCCTTCAGTTCAGAAAAATCAGTTTAATATTTCCACTACACCTTAACTCTTCATTATATAAATGCAACATTAGTTTAGAAATTTAAAGTGTTCCCAGAAGAACTGTTTACTAGTTATCTGATTATTTATATTTAGAAATAAATCCTAATGTAAATATGGATATGTAATTGAGTGGTTTCCTGATTAATGTAGCTATTTTAATAATCTCTTTAAAAATATCCAGAAGAGAGTTCAACTTGAAACAGCATTGATATTTTTATAGCTTAACTCATGAATATTTCAAAATGATTTTTACAAAAAGTAAAAATGTAAAATAAATGATGCATGTTCATCTACAGCTTTATTTATATGTCACTATGAATGTTCTTTCACTGGTATCATTTATCAGTACATTAGTTGACATTTCAGTTTTATATCTCATGATTTATTTATTGTACCTCAGGATCGGTGTTAGAAACATGAAATATTGGTGAGCCGCAGGGTAAAACAGAAGCAAAAATACTAGAAAATGCTGGGCTCTGAATCTGTTTTTGACCAAGTTAAAAATAAATAAATAAATGTATGGTTATACCAGGTTGGAATTAGGGAGTCTGACTTTGAAAAATATTTTATCTTTTTCCTCCTCATGAAAATGTTCTCTTTTGAGTAATGAAAAGAATAGAACTGTGCCTAGAAAGCTATCCATTTTTCCTCAGTACCAAGTCAAGTCTTTGAGTTATTTACTCATTTCTGGAAACCTAGTGGGAAATGTTGCCTTGTCTATCATCACAAGTGGTTTTACCTATAAAAGGAAAGAAACTCTCTCTCTTTTTCTAACAGGCATTGCAGCCTCATTTGCTGTCAAGCTTTTTAAAGCATGGATGGCAGAAAAAGATGCCAACTCTGTGACCTCTTCTTTGAGAAAAGCCAACTTAGACAAGAGGCTGCTTGTAAGTGCTGTCTGGTCAGAGGGTTGTATGCTTCGTGCTTCTGTCGTGGCGTTGGTAATGCCCACAGTGTACTACATGACTAAAATGCTGGGTCTGTGTGGAATTGGAGCATGGTTCCTTTTATTTCTGTATTATTGGCAGATAGAAACTAATTTCATTTTAATCTTTCTTGTATAAATAAATGGGATGATAAGATTAAAGTCATAGAGAATATGGAAACTTTCAAATTTGAAAATTTGTTGACATAGTGTTAACATTTGTCAGAATTAGCACTTTCTTTTGTAACTAGTAACTATAGAAATTTAAAGTTTTAATATGATAAAGTCCTATGGATCCTACTTCATTAGACATTTGTGATGTCTTGGGTTGGAGATGGATGACACTGATCTCAAATACATGTTAGTTAACAAAATAAGAGTTTAAACAGGATTCCTTGTTTATACCACGATTCCTTGGACATACTTAGCTATTTAACAAAGCAAATAAGTTAAGTGTAGTTAATTTGAAGCTCCCGTTATCACGATTGCTTGATTATATTTTTATGTCTCCATCTGTGTATTTTTCAAAGAAAATCAAGAAAACTATTTTGTCCTTGTAATTTCTATCTGCTCCCTACAATTTCTTTCTGCTAGAAGCAACAGCTGTCCAGATAATAGAGATTTCTCCAAGTGAAATTGCTTTTACAATTCTAGGACAAAGCCTAAAATTAAAAGACATCCTGCCAGCTTCTCTTCACCTAGTCTCTTGTCTGTTTTTTTCTTCCAATGTGTTTCAGTGTACAAAGGTGTTGGTCTATGGGATAATTCTGAAAACTGATTCTTTTCCTCAAGAAAACCTGAAAATAATGTTAACTGTAAATACTTGTACTTTCAATCACTTAAAATTCTTTTGTCTCTTGAAATTTACCTTAAAATAGCCCTATTTCTATCTTTAAAGTCTTTGTAATATGATAAAGAAAAATCAAGAAGTCTAGATTCTAGTTAATTTCTGCCACTGATGATAGTATTCTTTCAGCTGGTATTTCCTGAGTGCCTGCTCTGTGCCGGGCATGCTTCTAGAAGCTGTGGAGCCAGTAGAGAACAAGAAAGAAAAGCTCCCTGCCCTTATGGAAACTACTTTCTCATGGTCTTAGAGTGGATCCCAGTATATCAAAGGGACAGTCATAAAAAATAAGTGAGTAGGTTGCTGAGCACAGTGGAAGGTCTTATGAAGGGAAGGTATTCTTGTCCCTGAGTGTGGATTGGCTCTGTCTTAGCTGGGCCCCACTAAGATGTACATACCTTTTCATTCTGGGACTTAGGCTGAAGGAGCAGCTCCCATCTGAGCCGTGCAGAAGACAGAAACACAGAAGACTGAAGTGAGCCCCTCTGGTGCATTAAAAGCTCACTTTTTATTGGCCAAAAGAAGTCACTGAGAAGACTGACAGTGGGGTGGGAAAATTTAGGCAAGTCTCAGGCTACTTCTCCACCCCTGCAAACAACACAGCAAGGCGGGGCTTCTCTTAATACTTATTTAAAGAGACGGGGTGAATGATTGGGAACAAGGATACAGTCTATTACAACTCGTCACAAAAGACTCAGTTATTTCTTAAAGCGTGGTTCCTTAAAGATATCAATAGGCAGAGCTTGGTTCGCTTAATTAGGTCACTTCGTTGAAAAATTCTTTTAATGTATTTCCTTTTTGAAAAACACATATCATTTAACTATTCTTACTAGGTTTGTGTGTCTACATGTATTTTGGGTATGAGAAGCATGGGTGGCAGTGTCTACCAGAAACACTGCAAGCTCCTTGAGGATGGGCGAATTGCCTGCACACTGGGACCGCGCCTGGCTGATATTTGCTGACTCAACGAATGAATGAGGAACTAGAGGGTCAGTTCCACCATCAAGGAGGGAATTTTTGTTTCATTAACACATACAACGAGATTCTCTCTGACTGCGCCAGGACATTTTAGGAAAAAATAGCATAGTCTCAAAGTTTAGCAATTACCCACTTCTGTAATACAGAAGCAAGAAAATTTTGTCGCAACTCTAAGAAGAGAGGGGATGGGGGACATCCTTCCCTCCTCAGTGGAATAAGGAACAATGCTCAAGATATCAGCCAGAAGCTTTTCTAGGAGCTGAAGATATTAAAAGAAATCAAATAAATAGACCCTTGCCTTTACAGGGCTTACATTTTATTGCAAGGGAACAGGCAATAAACTAAATAAACAATTAAAATATGTAGTATCATTAAAAGTGAAAAGTGCTACGAGGAAAAAATTCAGTAGGGCAGCACTAAGGAGTGTCAGTGTGGGATATGATTTTCAGTGGTAGGGGAAGGCCTCTCGGATAAGGTGACATTTGTGTAAAGACTTGAAGGAGGTGAGAGATTGAGCTACCCAGATAGCTCTAGGAAGAGCATTCCAGGCAAAGGGAACAGAAACTGCAAAGGCTTTGAGGCATGGCATGTTGGGAACAGCAAGAGAGAGTATTAGGTAAGAGTGAAAGTAGCGACGGTCAGCTCAGAGATGTAGCAGGTGCCATATCATCTAGCAACTGGTTTTTATTCTGAGTAAGACAGGAAGCTTTTAGAAAATTCTCTGCAGAATTGTGCAGAATGGGATTTCGGGTGTTAACAGGATCCCTCTGGTTGTTGCCTTGGGGATAGACTGAGGAGCAAGGACAGAAGCAGGGACACCTTCATCTAGGGATGAGGTGATGTAACGTTGTACCAGGGAAAGTTTTTCTAACAAACGCAAACCACGTTCTAAGCCAGCAAATGTCATGATACCATTTAGACTGACTTGACCTCAGTTTAATCTAAATAGTAATTTTCAATATATTATGTATCATTCATGAGGACTTTGGATATCGTTAATAAATAAGCCACGAATAATAAGTTTGATGACATATTGCTCTGAGTGTAACTTTAGATCAAACTTTGCAGTCACAGTCTTCCTAAGTTGAATATTGAATGTTGGCATCAAGTAATGGAATAAAATATTGCCTTTGGGATTGCACAGCTCTGTCCATAAATATTCTGGCTGCATAATTTGGGTCAACCTGCTTAACCTTTTTGAGACTTAGTTTATCCTCTATAAAAATTTTTTTTTTTTAAAGATTTTATTTTTTTCCTTTTTCTCCCCAAAGCCCCCCGGTACATAATTGTATATTCTTTGTTGTGGGTCCTTCTAGTTGTGGCATGTGGGACGCTGCCTCAGCGTGGTTTAGATTAGCAGTGCCATGTGTGTGCCCAGGATGCGAACCAACGAAACACTGGGCCGTCTGCAGCAGAGCACGTGAACTTAACCACTCAGCCACGGAGCCAGCCCCTTCTATAAAAATTTTTACCTTACAAAATTATGAACAAAGTGCCTGCCACATCTTGATTCATAGAAGAAACTCAATTAAATTGGTTCCCCGTCCCTCAAATTTGGAAGACCTCATGAATGGTAGTGCAAATGTCAGTGACACAACTTCAGTCTTGCGTGAAATGCTTGCTTTAGCATTAATGCATGTTTTATACCTGTTCCCCCAAACTCTGTTTTGACATTTTGCATCTCATGACTCAACAGGGGAGATTATGGGATGATGATATAGAGAATATTGAAATTCAAGTCATGATATAGAAGCCATCTGGCTATGCCCCTGTACATGGTGGCAAACCCATTGCTGAGATTTTTATTGAAGTCACGTGGCCATTGACCATATACATGCAAATCTAACCAAGATAAAAGTTTGGGTCTATTTTTTAGACTCTGCAGCAGTCTGAAAAATGTGAGTTTGAAAATTGCTTTATTTCTTAGTTGGGTGTTGAAGGCACACAGGATTAGAACATGACTAAGTGTTACTGAGACTCTGCCAAGCTGTGTAAGGTAAAATGGAAATGAAGTAAAAATATGAGAGCAGCCATGGTACATTGCTCTTTTTCCAAGTTTCCAACAAAATTATGTAATGAACTCTGAAGAGTTGGTAGGATGGGTTTAGATTAGATCTCACCATGAACTTAATTGAGGCACCATCATTAAGAAATATAACAAAATTCTCTTTAGCTCTATAGCTAGTATTTTCGAATAATACCAGCATTTTCTCAGAATGTGAATAGAGGTCTTTGAGATGACAATAGTCAGTGTTGTTTTTCTAATATTATCTCAGATCTTTCAGCATTATTAAAACTGACTTGTCTATTAACTCAGTTAAAGAAACAGTGTGATTACCTAATGATTTGCATTTTTTTCTTGTCAGTTTAAAACAATCCAAATGTTATTCAAAGTTATTTTATTTACATTTGATTTAGCAAACTTAGTTCTATATTTACATGCTATACTTTTATTAAAGTGAAAGAAAAAGCAAATAATGGTTCAAAGTGAGTGAAGTTCATGGAAGTTGCTTAGCGTTTTTTTCCTTTCTTTGTGAAACTGACTAATTTTCAAAGGTACTTAGCAAATGTTCAAGAAATATACCCAAGATTTATTCTTTTGAAAATCAGTCCTTGTTCTTTTCCTCCAAATATGATATATTCGAAGTGCCATTTTAATATGAAAATTTTGTCCTTTATGCTTGCTGAAATTTAAATAGCTTGTTGTGTAACAGTCTCTCTTTTTTCTTTTCTCTTTCAGGAGCTCTTTCCAGTTAACAGACAGAGTGTGGATCATTTTGCTAAGTACTTCACTGATGCAGGTCTGAAGGAGCTTTCTGACTTCCTGCGAGTCCAGCAGTCCCTGGGCACCAGGAAGGAACTGCAGAAGGAGCTCCAGGAGCGTCTTTCTCAGGAATGCCCGATTAAGGAGGTGGGAAACCGTGGGCTGACATCACTGCAAACGCATGAATGAGAGGAATAACTTAGACTCTATAACACCACCTTTACCTCCCTTAAGAAGACCTTCCTTTGTTTATTGCTGTGAACTTCATGCACTTGTTCATACCATTTAAATGAGCTCATCTGTCAAGTAGATTTACCATCCATTCTCACTACACCCCATTATCTGGTGGTTTTTCTGCTTTGTTGCAGATTATGTAACATGGTTAATCATTTGGTTAGTGTTTGAAATCCACACTGGGTATTTTGAGCATTACCAAATATGAATATTTAGAGTTATTTCTCTTTTTTTCATTTGAAGGAAAAATAGGTTGACAATTTTGAATTCATATTATGGGAAGGGACCAGTTGGACCAGTGGCTTGTTTGATCCCATTCACAATAGCTGTGAGATGCTACATTTTAGTGCAACGTAATGTAAATGCTACATTTCTGTATGGCTATGTAGAAACATAGTTTGTATACTGTAGTTCATATAGCTAGGGCTGTATCTTTTTAGTTTTTAATTCACACCTGAAGAAAACTTCCTATTTGAACTTTAATAACTTTTACACGATAATCCAAAAACTAAATGAAGAGTCCTTTCCTTTTGCCACTTACTCCTGAGTCCCTCATCCTCACCACCCTGCATACGCTAAGCTCTCTAAGGCCCCTTGTGTGGTTTAAGACTGGACAATTCCAGACTGATGCTACCCAGCAGGTGGATGTGTTGGAGCAATAAATGTTCCTAAATCTCGTAACATTAAGGTCAGCGATATGTTCAATATCATTTCTCCAACAAGAACCTGGACATGATTTTCCATGGGGGAAAAAACAAAACCAAAAGCACTGTGATGCTTTTGGAGGCAGAGATGTCACCTTTCTTTGCCGCTTCCCCCAGCCACCTCGGGGACTGGCACTTCCCAGTTCCTTCTGTTCTTGAAGGCTGCTTAACCGGCTGCTGCAACGCAGGCCATCAGGAAAGAAAGCAATATATTTTCACTAAAACAGGAAAGGAAAAAAATGTTGCACTACTCACAAACCACTATACTTGACGTATATTATGGGTTTTAATCACCTCTGAGGCTGTAACCTCTCTTTGTGATTTTATTTCAATAGGAAGATTTTTCCAAACCAATTTGATATAAAATACCTTGTTAGGCAGATCTATATTCTATACTGTCAGAATTTAAGATAAATTTATACTTAAACATAATTCCAAGGGGAAAATAACCTGCTGAGTGTTGCTGCATTGATACATAGCATATAAAAAATTACCTTTGCACTTTACAATTTATTTATAAGTTAACTTTTCACTGAGATGGGGCACCAGGATCATCAAAAGTAATAATTAAAGAATGAATTGTGGAGAGGCCAGCCTTGTGGTATAGTGGTTAAGTTTCCATGCTCCATTTTGGCGGCCCTGGTTCATGGGTTCGGATCCCAGACACAGACCTACAGCACTCATCAAGCCACGCTGTGGTGGCAGCTCACATACAAAATAGAGGAAGATGGGCATGGGTGTTAGCTCAGGGTCAGTCTTCCTCACCAAAAAAAAAAAAGAATGAATTGTGGAGAATGCACAAGTACAAACCCAAGACATTATCCATCAAAAGGTTTAAAGTTGAGGGTCAGAGGTAAAAATTCATAGCTCTATTGCCTTCTTCAAACCCCAAGAAAGTCAGTCTCAAGTAATCCCTGCTCTGCTGGGCCCAGAGGGGTTCCTGCACGTAAAAGAATAACTCCTAAGAAACAACGATTCTCTTATTTCCTGTTACCCAGCAGCTCCTGGCCAGAGCTGAGCCTATCAACTTTTGGACTAAAAATAAATCTGCTTTGAGAACAAATCATTGTGTTTTTCCTCCCTCTTGTAATCTGCAAATATATGCCAGGAAGGGAGGAACTGAGCAGAATATTTATCTGCCCCAAATCTTGTACTAACCAGGCACAGTGAGAGGGGAACTCCCTATCTGCCTGTGACTCTCTGACTCCTTTTTCCATGAAATTTAGGTGGTGCTCTATGTGAAAGAAGAGATGAAGAGGAATGACCTTCCGGAAACAGCAGTGATTGGACTGCTATGGACCTGTATAATGAATGCTGTCGAGTGGAACAAGAAGGAAGAACTCGTTGCAGAGCAGGCTCTTAAGCACCTGAAGGTACAGGGTCTTAACACGGAACAGCCTCGGCTGCAGGCCAACTGCGGCTCTTAACAGTATGACAGATGGCTTCCAACCGCAATTCACCTAGACTCAGGCCAAACAGATATTTTCTAATTTTTTTCTTTTCAAATTTGTCGCTACCTAAAATGTTTCAGATGTAAGAGCCTATGAAATATCTAAGGGTAAGTTTTTACCAAAAACGATGTCAGAAGATCCATAGAATAGTCATGTATTTAGTATTTAAAGTTAAAGAGTAATATGCTCTAACTCTTGTTTTTCTTTCTGTTCTACGTGACAAAAATTCTTAGTGAATATTTTTGTTTAAGTAAACTACAAACTGACTTTAGAACTTGAAACGTATCTGAGTGGTGGAAGAAAGCAACTAATTATGTAAATTGTCTATCTGTGTGCATGGATACGTATGTTTTTGCTTTTATTAAGTGTCTTCTCCCTACAAAACCATACTAAGAGACTTGGAAGACTTCGATCCTGCCTTCAGAGTTTCCACTTGAATTGGGAAGTCAAAGACCACCTAGTGTAAATTAAAGAGAACTCTCAGTGTTTAGGGGAACAGAGCTGTGAGTGACGTATGTGGGTTAAGTTGATCAGGGAAGGCTCCTCAGAGGATGTGTGTTGAAGTGAGTAGGCCTTAGGGAAAACAATGGCTCTACATCAGTGACTGGAGGCCAAGGATATCGAGGACAAAAGCAACAATATGAACAAAACCATAAAGATGACCTGTGAGGTGTCTGGGAAAGGAAAATCTCATGCTTTGTCTCATTTTCATAATAGACAGACATAGTAGCACAACAGTTATCTTTAATATAGTCAAAATTTCATATTGGTCTCTTCCTTTAGTGGGTACAGTAAGAGAAATGTGATAAGATGTTGGGATAAAAAATTTGTTTTGATTAGATACAATATAATAAGAAGATAATCCTAAAAGTGAATGTTTTCTAAGCAAATCACCAGATTACTGTTATGATTCAAGTGTTGCCAGCCCTCCACCTCCCATGAAAGTTCACAGTGTTACTCCCCACTTCTGTTCCAGCAATACGCTCCTCTCCTGGCTGTGTTCAGCTCCCAAGGCCAGTCAGAGCTGATCCTCCTCCAGAAGGTTCAGGAATACTGCTATGATAACATCCATTTCATGAAAGCCTTTCAGAAGATCGTGGTTCTCTTTTATAAAGGTATCCCTCCGTGTGGTTCCACCTCTGTGTTTCTATGTTTCATTGAAGCTCTTTTAGGGCCAGAGCAGGGGGTGAGGCAGAGGAGCACAGGGGCTTCATGTTAATCTTTGCAGGTTTCAGTGAGGCAGGCAGGTTATGTAGAGAGAGAAAGTGCAGATGCCGTATGTGTGGCCTCAGGAACCAGCAGGATTAGGCCCCTGGGCACTTCTCATTGGTGGAACTTCCCAGGAGACTGTTGATGAACTGGTGGTTATTTTGGGGGGAGACGGTGAGAAAAGAATATAATTACATAAAGTGTAGGTCTCTTTTTGAATTGTAAGGATTAGATCTAATAACAGTGATTACCAAAATACTGCATATAGTATGGTCAGACCTTTTTAGGTGCCATAAAGCTGACCTTAAAATTATTGAAATAATTAGTTCTTTACTTTTTATTTGGCCCAGCTATTCTGTTTTCCAAGTAAATGGCTATTTTTAGATTTTTCACATTTACTGTTTTTTCATTGTATTTATAAGGATTATGTTGCCATGACAACTGGCACTGTCTTTGATGAACTAATGCTATTAGAGTTTTAACTGATCTCAATCTCTATACCTATAGTATGTAAAAAATGATCCTGGACTAGTCTTTGGTCTGGGCTTATGTAGTTTTGTAAGGGGGATAAAAGAACACTTAAGAAATGCTACATTTTGAACATCATGAAATGTTCATTAGACGTTACTGCAATCTTAAATGCAAAACATCAGAAAAAACTAAAGTATGAATTAATACCAGCCACTGTTTCTTTTCCTTTTGATGTGTTCTTAAATTTGTCTATTTTTAATGATTACTTGGGCATTTGGAGTGTAAAAACTTTACGTTATTGATTGATAGCTATTTTTAAAATGTTTAATAGCATTTCACAAGGAGTTTTAATTGGCCATGCAGATTCTTCAGATGCATTCATCTTACCCACAAGTGTTGGGTGATATTTTACTTTCTCAGCCTTAAGATATTTGGCACAATTTTTCTATCAGTAGGAGAATGTGATGACTGCCAGGTCCCAATTAAAGTTCACTCACTGGCATTTCTCTCTGGCCAGATCTGACGTAGGTCCTCTTGAATGTGGTCATGAGATGGCAGTGTCCTAAACCTAGGGCTAAAATGATACCCAAGCTAACCCGTCAAACAAAACCTGCAGGTCATACTGCCAACGCACCTATGGTACTCAGCAACCAAGAAAGAGAACCAGAGCCCGCCCAGCCAGTGGCCGTTTCTGCCCACGCTAGCTAGCCACAGCTGGCTCCATTTATAAACTGGTAGAGAGAGCCTTGAGAGGCTTCACATTTGCTTTGTGGGTGGTCAATATTTGCCACTACAGAGAAGCAAAGTGTTTATAAACTAGTAGCCTAAGCACACAATGTCCTTTCTTGTCATTTAATAGCTAACCCAACCAGTGTCTCTTACCAAATGTTTTCTTAACTGAGACAGTTGTTTGAGCCTCATCTACAGGAACACCTCATTTCATTATTGTACTTAGTTCTCACAAAAGAACAAACAAACTACTTTTTATCAGTAATGGCATCTAGGTGGCATATGAAGCATTAAAACCCTTCTTCAAATCTCTCATTTTAACCATTAATGCCAACTTCCTCCCCCATTATACTCCTTCTAATAACTACTGAGAACTAGCAAAACTGACTGCTTTGAGTTATTTCCCTTTTTTCGGTCCTAAATACTAAGGAACAGTACCTGAAATTATAAAATAACCAAGAAGTGGGCATCAAGAAGTAAAAACAAGAGGGATTAGCTCTTCCTTAGGCCATGATTAAGAGGTGATCAGCTTTTAAATGTAAAACTAGTAAGGTCTGTGGCAAGTATGAGCAGGCCCAGGGAACGCAGGAAGGCAAGTGTCAACGTCAAGTTTATTCTGGCTTATTTTTGGAAAGGAAATTGGGAAACTTTTTAAAAATAGAAACCTAAAATATATCACTGAGATGTTAAAACTAAATGTCATTTTCTAGGTAATTTCATAATTTTCCACAAAATTATACATATAGTCTTTTTCTGAATGAAATAATTGCAAGTTTTCTCCTGAGAACGTGAAACACCTGGGGAATGATTGTTCCAGACCACTATTGAGAGAGTTACAGTGTTTACCTTCTTAGCTTCCTTGAATAGTCATTTTTACTTTGACCTAATTTCATCCAACAAACACTTGTGCACCAGGAGATATATATTTTATATGTTTTTATAAGGATTTGGAGGCTCTTGTTATGTCTTGCGTATATTTTATATGTCTAGAAAGGCTTGATGAACAGTAGATATTCAAGCGTTCCTTTCCCAACACTTGTGTGTGTATGAATTAACGGAGAGCTTGTTAAAACAGGGATCCCAAGGATTCTGATTCAGCAGGTCCAGGATTGGACCCAAGAATTTGCATTCTAACAGATTGTATGGTAATACTGTGACTGTTGGTTCCAGACCACCAGTCTAAAGAGTATTGAATGCCAGAAGGGCAAATGTTGTAAACTAAAGTAACATATTCAGAATTATCCTTCTCATTAATTCCATGCACACATGTACATTTTATAAGTATCAAATAATGTCTTGTGTGCTTAGATGTGGAGTCCTTTTAATTATTGTAAGGAAGATTTTTGCTTTAAAGCAGATTTTTTAAAATATAGGGGGTGGGGCCAGCCCAGTAGCTCAGCAGTTAAGTTTGCACATTCTGCTTTGGCGGCCTGGGCACGGATGTTAGCTCAGGGCCAGTCTTCCTCAGCAAAAAAGAGGAGGATTGGCAGCAGATGTTAGCTCAGGGCTAATCTTCCTCAAAAAAAGAAATATATATATATATATATATATATATACACACACATAGTGGAAATTCTTTCTCCTTTTCCATTTTAATCTCTCTCTCTCTCTCTCTATTACACACACACACTTTACCCTTATTTCCAGAACTTGAGGATAACAGAAACTTGGGGATATGATTACCCATGTCCCCTTAGAGAAACCTAATCACTTAAATGCATGCCATTATTGAAAGATTTTTAAATATTTTATATAAGTAACAGTGGAATAAAAGTGAATAAACTATAAATAAATAATGCTTTTCAGCAATGAAAGAAAAAACTAGTGATTGGTCATTCACTTTCTGTATTAAAAATCTAGATTTTTATATTTCTAAGGCAGTAAGGAAAAATAGTAAATCCATCACTAATTTTTAAACATCTCACTATTCACTTTTAGAAATAATTTCTCTTCCTTTCTTCCTGAAGCTAAGTACCATATTCTCAGCATGTAGGTCTGAAAAATATAACACCACCTTCTCAAGTACTGTTAGTATCTCTATCATGGGTTTTATTGTTTGCAGACATTTCTTAAGGTTAAATTCTGTCTCTCATGCAAATTTTTCTAAAACGAGTTTCTTATTCTCATTCTAAAACAAGGTAGGTGGCCTTCTCATCTGAGTTCCAAGGAACATAGTTTTCAACTTAAATATCTAAATAACATTAAAACCACTTTTACAATATTGTCTCTTTGACTCTCATGAGAACATAAATTTTAAATTATAACTCCGCAAATTGAGAAGCTCACCAGAGATGATGAAGAAATTGACCAGATAGAAGGCAGAAAAATATTTTTTAATCTGAGGGAACTCTACGTGCAACAGTGTGTCTTTCCTTCTTCCTATATTTTTAGTGATTTTCTATATTCCTAATAGGTATTTCTGAAAGATGCTAACAAGCACTTTGTCGTCTCCCAGTTTGAATTAGTTCTTCTCCCTACTTTTCATTAGAGAAAAAAAAATCTCCCTCTTCTTTCTTCAAGAAGGAGCTCCTTCTTTTTTGGATTAGACTTTTCAGTAAACAAAAGTTGAATTTCTTCTTAGAGTGTTGTTCATGCTTTGCCTCATAAATTGCCTGTGTGGTTGTTTCTGTCCCTTCTTTATTATGCCTCGTACTAGAAATTTGGTCTCAGAGCAGGTATTTACAATCATACTGACGTCTTAGTTAAAGACAGACCACATATATGACGGTGGGCACATAAGATTCATACCATCTAGCCTTGGTGTGTAGTAGGCTATGCCATCTAGCTTTGTGTAAGCACATTCTAGGATGTTCACACAACGACAGAATTGTCTAACGATGCATTTTCAGAACGTGTCCCTGTCGTTAAGCAACACAGGACTGTTACTAAATCAGGTTCTTCTAAGAACTCCGCTTGGCACAGTTTGTCTGATTTTCGGTGGACAACTCATCTGAGAGGTTTGACCTCCCACTTGCTGTCCTTTTCACAAGCACTGTTATTGACAAGCATTTTAGTAGTTGCATGGCCTCTATCAGCCTCTGTGGGGCAATAAAACACAGGATGAGCTCTCAGCCTTCAAAAGAAAAACCTCAGACAAACTATCACTAACCTGCAGTCTGGACCAGCTTTCCAGCATGTACATTGTGTCATACACAATTCATTGAAGTGAGGGGAAAAATAGAATTTCCTTTTCCATGTTTGTCATATTCTTAATTCTTTTTTGTTTGTTTTATAGCATTAATAATAATAGTTCTACAGAACATGCATATAATTTATAAACCAAAAAATATACACATGTTGGGTGTACATGCTCAAAATTGTCTTACTAATAGGGGAGCATGATCAAAACAGTTTGGAAATTACTGATGTAAATCACAAGCATCTTAAAGATGTTGTAAAGACAAATTATATAAAAGAGACGTTTAAAATCCATGTTTGAGCTAATTAGTGTTCTTGAAAAAATCTCTGCAAAGCAGGTTTGCACAATAACAAGTCACTTTCCCAGGCTGTAAACTCTACTCCTCACCTACAAAAACTGGGCTTTGATGACAAGTGGTTAGGAACGTTCTTTGATCATTGTGAGTGGAAGGCGCGGAGCTGCAAACAGAAGAAGCTAAAAGACTAGACGCTAAGAATACTTAATTCTATAGGACTCCTGATGAGAACTTTTATGTTCAGTCCTTAAAAATGAATAAATCCAGACTTCCTCCTTCCTTTGAAAAAGGTAGTATTATTTAATGATAAAAATAAACAAATAAAAAACTTATATTTTCTAAAACCAATCATGTGCATTTTTAGCCAATTCAGTCTCTTCAGTTGAATCCAAGAGCCAGTTATTAATTTTAAAAAAAGAAAACAAGCTTAACGTTTTTGTTTTGAAAGGGTCAGTGATGTTTTAAATGAAAACATTATCAAAATCATTTCTCTCATTTTCACAAGTTAAAATTATATTTTAGCTGCAAATCTATCATAAGAGTGACTTATCAGCATTTGTAATGGATTGGGCAGGCATTAGAGACCATAATAAATGCTTTTTATCTGTTTTCCATCTCATTTCTCACTCTGAAATCTCAGAAGACAACCCATTAGAACATTGGCAGAATATTTATGCTATTATTTTCGTATTCCCCTTCCTATTCTTAACATTAAATGTTCTAAATTAATGGTAACTTGAGAATATCAAGGCATATTTGTGGAATTTAAAGTTTATGTAATAGTTAATAGATAACACTTTTTGTTAGAAACCTGTAAGAAATCTATCCAATATGTCTCTGTTTTTCTCTTAATAGAGTACAAGGAAATCATTACTCTTGTGATTTAGGATATTATACTGTAGGAAAATAAATTAGTGATTAGCAATAGAATAAGTGTAGAACTTTGGGTTCTGTGTGTATTGGTCCCATGATACACCCCGGAGGCTCATCTTTTTATCTAATTGTTAATATCATTATTGTATCTTATCTACATGTTTTTCATCTGCCCTTTTTTCTCCTGAAAAAGTAAATCTCCTTAAAAGACCAGTCATTTAAGGTTGCTGCTTGATCAAGATGTGTTTGACGTTGGCAGGACACAGAGTGTTCTGAAATGCTGGAATTGCTGATGCATTTGCAAAATTCCAAAATAACCCAGTTTCCTACCAGCAAATTAGCCCTGTAAGAGATTTCCAGGTCCTAGTAGTGACTTGCATATAGGCTTGCATTATATCAGGCCTGATGAGATGTATGTCGTCATCATCCCTAAAGTACTACTAAGCCAACTGCTAAAGTACAGCACTGTTCTGTGTGAAATGAGCTTGGTTCCTGTCTTCTAAGTTTCGGATGTGGATTTCTTTTGTAATAGAGCTTTTAATATTAAAAGTGATTGCTTTCTATTAACCTATAAAACATGAAGCTGCTTTGAAACATGACATTTATGTGGTAACTGAAATCTTTGATTTTTAATTGCAGCGGATGTGCTGAGTGAAGAAGCGATATTGAAATGGTACAAAGAAGCGCATGTTGCCAAAGGCAAGAGTGTTTTTCTTGACCAGATGAAGAAATTTGTCGAGTGGTTACAAAACGCAGAAGAAGGTATGATTCCATTTAACAACTCTGGCGGCCATTTAGCAAATGCTTTCTCATTATAGTTCAAGATATCTACCTCTTCTGCAGATTTTTCTTGCCTTCCTAAAACTAAAGTTCTAGAGGTGTCTTCCATATCACACATTTTGCCTCTATCTTAGCCTTCCTTTCTGAAATCAATGCAATGAAAACTTCTAAATGGCAAAAAACAAAACAAAATTTTGAAAACTCCCTTAAATTATCCACCCTAATGAAGGACAAGGAGGAAGAAATTATAAGCAGGTGTGAAAGGAAAAAAGCACATTTGGCTTAATCACACATTATGGGATTGTATAGGATTTATAAGCACCGTTGCCAGTTGACTGATATTTAAAATGGCAACACGGGATAATAATGGATGAGAGTGAATCCAACTCAGAATGAAAATTTTACTTTAGGTGATTCAAAGAATAAAAGTAGTTATATTCTCTAATAGTACTTATGAGGATGTTGCATTTTTAGAAAGGCAAAGGTAATTTAAAAGCAAAAGGGAGCAAAAGTTTGCTATCTGTCCTAAAAAATTATCTTACTTAGTGATAGGTGCCTAGGACAAAAATGTCTTTTGAGGGGCATCGGTGGGAAGTGGGTTAGAAACCCTTCCATGACCTTATTTAAAAGAGTCTTAGGAAAAAAAAGGAAAACCTAACTTTGTTTCTTCTCTCCTAGAATCTGAATCGGAAGGTGAGGAAAGTTAAATGGCTCAAGAAGCACAATACCTAGGTTACCACACAGCACTGATCGGGAATGCTGAACCATTTGGGAAGAGAAACTTGGCTTCTGTTTTCACAAAGGAAAAAAAATAGGATAGACTTCCCTTGTGCAGAGAGGGAAATGGTTTTTGTTTTATTTTGTTTTTAAATGGAGCCCTGAGGCATCAGCTATTATACTTGGGACTCTACCTCTCCCTCGCTATATGCTAACTTAAAGCCATTCAACGTGGAGTCAACTAGGAATCTGAAAGTTAAATACTCAACAGACTCCTGTTTTTTAGCCGTATTTTTCAGGTACTGTGTGGTGAACGCCCCACTGGTGTCTATTACAGGGCCACTTTGGTAGTTGTGTATCTGCTCGTGTATGTGATTTGACAAACCAGTTTTTTAAAATAAATGGCTTTATAAAAATCTGGGCTTATATTCTTGGAGCTTTTGTTTCTTTACAGTATGCGACTTCTTAAGCAGATGACATTCAGTGTTAGGCTTTTTTTCCCCCATCCAGAATTTTGAATGGTTACATTTCTTGTCATCTAGGAAAATAACACTTCCTTTTATCATCATATGTAATAAATTTCAGTTATCTTTGTAGCGAAATAGAAATTGATCCAAAATTATATGCATATTAGCACTAATACCAAGAAGTGATATTATTAATAATTATTATATATGTACATGCATAGTTCTACACTTCTCATGTTTTCCTCAGCTCTGTTTCCTCCCTGTTTAGAGAAGACCTAAAGACCTAAAAGATTTATAAATGTAAATAGATCTCTGTTTATATTTATTTATAACTATGTGATTTTATTCTTTAAATTATCCTGTTCTCAAGAGTAGCGATGTGAAACACCATACCATTTGGGAAAGCCCATAGTTTTATTTCTTTCTTAACTAAAATTCTAAGAAGCCTTTCTTAACTCTTGAAAAACTTAACTGCCCTGCTGCTGTTAGGGCAATGGTAGGCTCCGACAAACGTTTTGTCTGAGAGTTGAAGCAAAGGGAGGATATGTTGGAAACAATGTTCACCATGGTACAATGTTTTCTAGTATCCTATTTGTCTTCAGGAGAAAAAAGAAATCTTGGGGCCGGACTGGTGGCATAGTGGCTAAATTTGCACACTCTACTTCGGCAGCCTGGGGTTCACCAGTTCAGATCCTGGGCACAAACCTATAGCTAGTCAAGCCATGCTGAGGCGGCATCCCACATAGAAGTAGAAGGACCTACAACTAGGATATACAACTATGTACTGGGGCTTTGAGGAGAAAGAAGAAAAAAGAGGAAGATTGGCAACAGATGTTAGCTCAGGGCCAATCTTCCTCACCAAAAAAAAAAAGGAAATCTTTCCCCCTGTAACTTGACCACATACCTACACCTTTAACATGATGGATTCCTCCCATCTTTTAAACACTAAGGCTTTGATAAATGCCTTTCTTCTCGTGTAGTTAGAGCACTGTCAAGTTCTCTGTCCCAACAATGGACAGAAATATTTAGCATAGATAATTTTTGAAAAATCATCTATGTGTAAGAATGTCATTTTCATCACACAGGAAATAATAAGAACAAGACAACTGTGGCCAAGAATGATTGGAAGTCATAGAATAAACAGCTTTATGGCACCTTAAAGTGCTTAGCATACCCCTGGATGTCCTTATATATTCTTTCCTAAAATGGATCTATTGGGTAATGCTCCTCTTTCATACTGGTTTTCCTTTCCAGTCTGCCTTTTCACAATTGCCCTTGTCCTATTTTATAAAAGAAAGTATTAACTCATCTATTCCTTATGGTACATTATCCTGGGAGATGAAAACCATATGTTACTAAACAAAGGGACAAATCTAGAATTCTTTGCTCTTGTAGGATAGTTCCTCAAGAGAAAAATCAGGAACCAAAGGGAGAGGTATCTGATTTCTTCCAGGCCATCAATTCATGACAAGTCCCCATTATCTGTCCACCCTTCCTCCTCTCTAAAAATTAGAATTAGGAAGTTAAGTGGTAGTCACATCATAGAGTGCATATTAATGTGTTTGGTTGAATTGAAAAAAATGAAAAGTTTTAGTTGAAAAATAAATTTGGGGACCAGTCCTGTGGCCGAGTAGTTAAGTTCACATGCTCTGCTGCAGTGGCCCAGGGTTTCACCAGTTCGAATCCTGGCACCGCTCATCAGGCCATGCTGAGGTGGCGTCCCACATGCCACAACTAGAAGGACCCATAACTAACAATACACAACTATGTACTGGGGGGCTTTGGGAGAAAAAGGAAAGATAAAATCTTTAAAAAAAAAGATAGGTAAAAGTAATTTAAGAAAAATAAATTTGGCCAATTGGATGAGTGCTGACTGCCAATTAATATGGCAGACATATCCCATAAATTAAGTTAAATCTACATCCTAATATTTTGACAAAAATATAGTTGGAGGTAAGATATTGAAAATCACATTCAATTTATGATAAAAGTTTTATGTCATCTTTTATGTTTTTATATTATTTAAGTTTCTATGTCAACATGTAAGAGAGTTTTCCCTTCATTTTAGGGGATCAGGAGTAAAAAGTGAAGGCCCCCTACATTAGAGAATATTTGACTTTGCCCCACTATTTCTAAGGTAACCAAACTGAGACCTAGAAAAGCACCACGTTGTCCGAAGTCATAGAGTTAGTGACCAAGATGGAGCTAAAATTGCCATTTTCAGAGTCCCACACCTATGCTCTTTTGTACATTCTCCTGTCAAATTATTTATAATGAGAATGTAAGTTCAAGCAAGTGTTTTTAAAACTAGTACTTTTGTTGATAAACATCTGGAAAAGCTATTTTCTAATCTATAAACTGCAGCAATTATAGAATACTAAACAACATTTTCTGGCAGAGTTTTAACTTTTTACATAGTAATCTTAGGGTAAGCAAGCATGGGGGCAGGGAATGCTCAAACAGCAAAGACTTAATGAATCCTTTTTTCTGAAAGACAAGTGTCTGTTTTCTTTTTAAATATAAAGCCTATCCCAGTTATAAAAGTGGTTACATTAGTTATCTATTGCTGCGTAACAGATTATCCCAAAATTTGGCAGCTTTAAGCAGCAAACATTTCTGATGTCACAGTTTCTGTGGGTCTGGAATCCAGGAGCTGCTTAGCTAGGAGGTTCTGGCTCAGGGCCCCTCCTGAGGCTGCAGTCAAGCCTGGCCTGAAGGGCCTGCGGTTACTGAAGGCTGTAGGATCTGCTTCCATGCTGACGGTGGTCAGTAGTTGGCGGGCCTCAGTTCCTTGCTGACTTTTAACCAGAGACTTCAGTTCCTCACCACAGGGTCCTCTGCTTATGTTGCCTGAGTGTCAACAGGACATAACAGCTGGCTTTCCCCAGAATGAGTGGTCTGAGAGAAGGGGGTGCCCAAAAAGGAAGCCATCTTTAATAATAATATTGGAAGTAACATAACATCCTTTCTGCCACATGCTATTGGTCACATAGACCAACCCTGGTGTGCTGTAGATGGGGACTGTGTGAGATGTGAATACCAGGAGGTGGGGATAATTGAGAGCCATCTTGGAGGCTGGCTACCACAGTAGTATATACACACATCCTAGAATAGTTTCTGGATGGATAAAAATCTTCACCTAATGCTAAAACGATGAAAGCACTAAAAGAAAATCTATGAAATATCTTCATAATCTTGGCATGGGAAAAGCATGACACAAAAGCCAAAAAGAAATCTGATTAAAAAGTTAACATTTCTTCCATATTGAAGGATATATACATGAATAATAAAGACCAAATGCATGTGGGATTAGTAGAGCTTCGACAGATTGGAAGAAAATATTTTTGATAAAAATAACAAATAATTAACAACAATACAACATAAAGAGTGCCCATAAATCAATAAGAAAAAAACAATTGAGAAAACACAAAAAGAGTATGAAGAGTCAATTCAAATGAGTGATTAACATGGAAAAGTGCTCAACCTTACTGTTAATTGAAGTTGTATAAAGCAATGAGATAAGATGTTTTACTCATTGGGTTAGAAAAAATATTAAAACCATAATGGTAGTGTAGGAAAAAATGGGTTCTTTCCCTGTGTACATGGTCTTTTGAGTTAAAATTTGGCAATAAACATTATTTTTTTAAAACTTTTTATTAAGATTATGATAGTTTACAATGTTGTGAAATTTCAGTTGTACATTATTGTTAGTCATGTTGTAGATGCACCACTTCACCCTTTTTGCCCTCCCCCCACCCCCCCTTTCCCCTGGTAACCACCAATCAGTTCTCTTTGTCTATATGTTTAACTTCCACCTATTAGTGGAGTCATACAGAGATTGTCTTTCTCTATCTGGCTTATTTCACTTAACATAATACCCTCAAGGTCCATCCATGTTGTTGTGAATGGGACGATTTTATCCTTTTTTATGGCTGAGTAGTATTCCATTGTATATATATACCATATCTTCTTTATCCAATCATCAGTTGCTTCCACATGTTGGCTATTGTAAATAATGCTGCAATGAACATAGGGGTGTATGGGACTTTTGGAATTGCTGATTTCGACTTCTTTGGATAGATACCCAGTAGTAGCATGGCTGGGTCATAAGCTATTTCTATTTTTATTTTTTTTGAGACATCTCCATACTGTTTTCCATAGTGGCTTCACCAGTTTGCATTCCCACCAAAAGTGTATGAGGGTTCCTTTTTCTCCACAACCTCTCCAACATTTGTCACTTTTTGTTTTGGATATTTTTGCCATTCTAACAGGTGTGAGGTGATATCTTAGGGTAGTTTTGATTTGCATTTCCCTGATGATTAGTGATGATGAGCATCAATATTAACATTTCTGAAATGCATATCCTTTGACTCAGCACTTCCATTTCTGAAATCATTCCACAGGTGTACACACAGACATATGTGCAATGATCACTATTAACAATAAAACTGAAATGGCCTAAGACAACTGGTAAATCTAAAATGTCTGTGAGAAGGAACTAGTTAAATAAATTATGATAAATCCATATCAGGAATGAGGTAGACTCAAAAAGAGGTTCATAGTGTATCATTAAAGGAAAAATGCAAGTTAAAAAGAATGTCTTTTTTCCATTAATGAAAGCTATGTCTATATATAATATATCTTTATAAGCACATAGAAAAGCAATAATATTCTCTAATAATTATTATAAATAATTGTTATTTCTGCATAAGTCTTGGCAGGAATGAAGGAAAAAAGCGGAAGGAGAATTTTCTCTTTACTCTTTCTACTTCCTTGAATTCCTTTAGAAAGAGCATGCAATATCCTTATAATTTTAAAAATTAATATATATTTATTTTGGAAAATATGAAAAAGCTTTTGGGAAAAACTAAACATTACAGTGTCCTTCTATGGAGATGAGCACTTCTAATGTTTTTATATTTTTACACATATGATTTGCTTAATTCTTT